AACTGTGGCACTGAGCTCTGGAAGATTCTCTAACCATCCATCAACAGCTGTGGGCACAGGCGACTCCATTCTAGCCTGGCCCCCCGTGGTCTTAGGTGAGCCCACTCGAGCCTGAGACCCTGGCTTTCCGTTCTGAGACTCTGAATCACTTCCTTCTTCAGCTCTTACCTTTGAACCTTCCTTTTCCCTTTCCTGCAGAAGTGACTCACGGCTCAAGTGTCGGGCGACACTGAGGATCAAGGATGGATGATAAAAATACTCTTGATTGTGTAACTCGAGAGAGGGCTGCAGTGTTTGCACCTAGATTCCAAGCTCCGGCCAGGAACCTTGAACAATGGCCACAGTTTTGTCTCTCTGGAGTAACAGAGCACAGACAGGAGTCAAAACAGAAGTTGACCTGCGTCAGATTTGCTGGGCCCGTGTCCTTTGCCCTTTCCAGTGTGTTTTCTGAGAAAGGCAGTAGACATTTAACATGACAACCTGGTTCGTTCACATGAGGGTCCCAAAAGAAAGACCCTGGTCCAGGAAGCAGTGAGCAGAGAGGCCCCGAGAGCAGGGTTCTTTCTTTCTGGCCTTGCTCTCCAGTGCAAATGCCTGTCCTCTGCCAGTATGGGAACTGTGAGTGAAGCCACGGTGACAGAGTGGCTCCAGGCTGTCTACTGCCCTAACACACAACCCTGACGGCAGGGTCATCTAAATCTGTCCTCTGTACCAAGTGGCACCACAGCAACCAGCTGCCCTGCCTAGGAGGAAACTCACCTTCTTCACCCAAATCCACTGGCAGGGCAGATGAAAACCAGAGAGCTGATTATGCTTCACGGGCCCCATAGGCTGAGCAAAACAAAACAGTCTTCTCTGAAGGACTACTCCCTAGCCGGGTCACAAACTACTCAGGACGGGAACGAGAGAGAGGCAGCAGAGTCACCCCATCCAAAGGCCAAACAAATGGGAGCAGAGACTTGCACAGCAGAGCAGAGCAGGCATTGAGGGTAAGAGCCACAAGGGGAGCCGGGCGGTGGTGGCGCACGCCTTTAATCCCAGCACTCGGGAGGCAGAGGCAGGTAGATCTCTGTGAGTTCGAGGCCAGCCTGGGCTACCAAGTGAGTTCCAGGAAAGGCGCAAAGCTACACAGAGAAACCCTGTCTCAAAAAACAAAACAAACAAACAAACAAACAAAAAAAGAGCCACAAGGGGTAAGAGTAACTCCACTACTCGGGAGGCCTGGGCTATTGGCTACTGTGAGTTCCAGGCCAACCTGGGTACAGAGACAGACTCCACCTTAAGCAGAAATAGATAATAAGAAAGAGGGAGGGAGGGAGGGAGAGAGGGAGGGAAGGAGGGAGGGAGGGAGAGACAGAGAGAGAGAGAGGTTGGGAGGGATGTGTACACATGTGTCTGTGTGTGTACATGTGTATTTGGGAATCTTACAAATGGATTGTCACAACAGAGGAGTTTATGCTATGAAACCATCATTCTCCAGGAAATTTGGGGGGGGGCATCCTTATAAAGCTCTGGTGCTATTCTAGATGAACAGGGAGCTGCTGAGCAGGGATGCTAAGTTTGCTTTTGAGAGGCCCCTTGACTACCCAAGAGCCTTCTCTCGCTAACATCCATGTGCATACACATGACGCCGGCCCCTCTCTGGGAACTCTCCTCCCCAGTGAGTCAGCGGCTAAGTGAGGCACAGGGCATGGAAGAAGTTTACAGAAACAGAGCTTCCTGTGCACACACCTGACCACACATGCCCGCCTGTCACCATCACAACGGAGAGGCTGGGGAGCTAACGCCGGAGTCTGGCTGACTAGGGACCTCAGACCGAGGGATGTCCAGTGACTCCCGCCCTGGATCCCAGCACATGTTGGCAGGCAGAGCTCTAGGCCAGGCTGTCTCATGTGGCACAGAGGGCTGCTTCCCAAACTCACCCAGCAGCCAGTGCGAAGGGAGGCGCCAGCAAGCCGAAGGAGGCTTTTCTCAACTGATCATCTTGGGAAAAGGCAGATACAAATTTCATGGCTGGAATGCAAGGGTTGTGAAATGCAGAAGACGCCCCAAAGAGGGCCCAGGACGTTCCTTCCAGGAAGGCAGTGGGAGGAGGCTGCCAACAATGGTGGTGGGAGGACAGGTTACCAGAGGGGCTGCCTTCTGGGAAGCAAGAAATAGGGCCTTCAGAAAGAAAGAAATCCCCTGGTCCTGAGGTGGGAGATGAGCCAGAGATAGGGCTATGTTGGTTTCTGAAGAAGAAAACAAGGCCTGTTTCAGAAAGTAATTCTGCTATAAATGAGCCAGCTATGACACAGCTCATTATTTCTAGAATCATCGGGGCTAATGAGAGGTCCTCCTTACAGTTAAATAAACCCAGTAATCTTCTAACGTAGACCTAGCTTGTCCTCGGTGTCATGTGAAAGCTTGTCCCTAGTCATGCTACAACCAGTTAGTTACGTGAGTTCCCCAAGGTGAGATCATTATTATCTCAGAGACATGGCCTGCATGGTCCTCGGAGGGTCCCTGAGCACAGGACAAGAAAGCCCACGCCTGGCGAGATTGCCCTAAACTAGAGCTCCCTACATTTCAAGTGTTTCTTTTGGAAAAGGAAAATATATAAGATTATTTACTTCACACAGTGGCTACGAGGATGAATTAAGTTAATATTGGTACGAACTGTTGGCTGCTATGGATGTATGAAATTAACAAGTGCCCAATTCCCCAAGTAGGCCAGGACCCAGTTGCTGATGCCCAGGCCTGATCAGCTGTTTTCAACTGCTCCACTCTGTAACCTCCTAGATCCCACCCAGACCCACGAAGACCCATGCATCAGAGCTGCCCGGCCCAAAGTCCTGACTAAGGGGAAACTGGACAGGCAGACAAAATAGGGCCCATGCTGCGACGGCGGCTTCCCAGAGGGGGACAAACAGTGGTGCCAGCACATTTGGGACTGGCTTTCTCTGTCACGATCTTTACGGCGCGTCTGAAACGAGGTCAGGTCCCAGAGTGGGCAGCACAGATATTACAATGGTGCTTGCTAATCTCAACTGAGCTGGCCATTGTCATGTCTGAGACAGAGAGCTAGGCTCCGGGAGATCTGAGTGCGCGCGGGAGAATGGGCTTAGCCAATCACTGCTAAACTGCTTGTTAAACTAATTGGTAACAAGGACCAAGAATCCCCGGAGAGGTTCTGACCCCTCCAGATGCCAGACTTCAGCACTGTGGGGACCTGACTGGGCACTTGAGCGGCAGGGAGGGGCAGAGGACTCCAGAGGGCTAGTACCTCTGAGCTATTCTCACCCATCTCAGCCAATGGAGGGCAGAGAGTGGGGGCAAAGGGTACAGCCTTTTGCCAATGCCCATCCCCACTGCCTTACTACCCAGTTGTGCTGTCTACAGGAACTGAGAGCCCGGTCTGTGCCCCTTGCAGTGTCTAGGGGCACAAGAGCCAGACACATAAACAAGAAAGGGGATGAGGTACCAGGCATGTTTCAGGTCAAAGAGGCAATAAGGGGCAGCCCTGCAAGAGCTTTCTGTCAGAGTCCTGGCCTTCTCTGAGAGGTGGGAGGGCCACCTGGAGGGCGAGTGTCTCCCATTTCCAGCAAACTACTCAAAGCTGTAAGCCTACTGGCACTTCCGGCCTGCCACCGGGGCAAGAAGCCACACTTGGGGCCTAGGGAGGAGTACAGCCCTGGGTCAGGGTCCAGGCTGCAGGTGGAAAGCTTCCAGATGCCCCATGACACAGCTTGGCCAACTGCTACTGCCATGGCAAAGCCCAAGTGACTTAAGAAAGCCGTTGGCTTACAGCTAAAGGCTGCTGAGTGGCAATGGAAGCCGCCCCATGCTGGTCGAGAGCTCAATTCTAGCTTCTGGATAGCAGGTACATCAGGTAAGCTGCACTGTGTGCCCAGAGCAACCCTCCTGACACCATAATCTGCTCCAAGGATGCATCCTTGGTGTTACCCAGTCAGGCTCCACAATCTCGGTCCCTTCAGCAGCTCCCCACGCTAGCTGCAGTTCTAGGGTACATCCCTGCTCCTCTTTCTCCAAGACAGGCTGCCTACTCCAGATGCTGCTGTCTCCTGTAGTACCCTGTGTCCGGGATCATGAATCAGCAAGACTCCAAAGCTGCGGTCATTTCCAACGAACTGTGTGTGCAGTCAGACTGCACCCCCATAAACAGTTCATTGTTTCCTTCATGGTCCCCCAAAAGGAAAGCCTGTGTATCCCAGCTGGCCCCAGGGCTTGAGGTTGCCACATAACAAGCTTCCAGTAAAGACTTCTCACCCTCGTCCTGCAGGATTAGCCCAGCTCCGTTTTCACCTAAGGCCCAACAGCTTCCTCCCGGGCAGGCAAGGTTCCTGCTTGGAGCTGCCAGCACCTGGGCATCGTCTGCCAGATGAGAAGGGTTCCCAGCTCTAGCCTTGCTCTCCACTTGCCTCCAAACAGAGGAAGACGTGGGCAGGAAGCAGATCTGACCTCGGGGGTTGGCTGCTTTCTCCCAAGGACTACAGGGGCCTGAGACAGGCAGCGGAGGCCTGCTAAGGACTTCCCTTCCCTTCCCTGGGCCCCAGGAAAGGCAGGCAGGAAGAAGGGCCTCAGCAGCAGGCATGCAGTACAGGGCTGGCCAGACAAGGAGGCCTCTGGGGTTGTAGCTATCAGCCAGAGCCCAGGCTCCAGGAAGGAAGGAAGGGCAACTCTGACCGAGGGAGAGATAAGGAGGGGCTGCTTAGCACAATGAGCTCCCACAAGGCTGAGAGGCCCCCAGTCAGGTTCCGCCCTGCCCTGGACTCTCTTCTGTTCACACAGCCCATGTAAATACTTACTGCTGTTTATATTCACGGTCTGCAGAGGCCCCTTTGAGGTCCTTTCCAGAATCCACCGCTCTGTGCCCTGGACCAGGGCTGCCCCCAACTAAACCCAGAGACCCTGGTATTGTTCTCTCTCAGGCAATCCCCAGGCATGGCCCTCGGGAGAAATACCATCCTCTTGTCCTAGCTCTGGAGCAGGACACTTACGGAGGCCGGTCGTGGGTGAGGCCGTTCTGTCGCTGAGTGTTGATTGGTGGAAGGACAGGTTTGCTGTTGATCTCCAGTCCTCGCCTCAGGGTCTCCCGGATCTGCTCTGTGTCTGCAATGATATCCCGAAGGTGCCTGATGGATGGACAGCCCTCGGGGCTCCCAGCAACCCTTCCTTGCAGCCTGTTCTAGAGCCTGGACAGCAATATGCTGGGGAGAGCTGGGCGTGGTGGGACACACCAGGAATCCTAGCCTTAGGCGGCTGAGATAGGAGCTGGACAAGTTGAAGAATAGCCTGGGCTACACACAATAAGATCCTGCCTCCAGACAAAGGCAGAAAAGGTGGGCTGGTAGCACTAGTTGGGAAGCCATGACCATCAGCTTTGCTGTGTGATCTGCTATTGACTACCTCTGCATAATAAAACAAGAACAAAGATAAAAACAAAACCACCACCACCAAAACAACAAAAAACAAAAACAAAAAACAGTGCTGAGCATAATGGCATGTCTATAATCCCAGCACTGGGGAGTCTGAGGCAGGAAATTAGAAGCTAGCCTATGCCACATGGAGAGAAAGAGCTTGTCTGAAAAATAAGTAAACAAATAAAATAACTATGATTGCAGCCGTGGACACGATCGCCAACCTCGCCTTAAGTTACTCTTTTGTCAAAAGCAACTATGAACTGAGTGTGAACCCCTCAGACTCCTGCAGGAAAGAGAAGAAGGGGTCAGATGTTTGCATGAGGAGTCTGAGTTGTCCTTTCAGAGATCTTTATGAGTGTTCTCACACGGACGACGATGACGACGACATGGAGTGTGGAGGGTCAGCTCCATGGCAGAGTCCGTGCTTAGCTTCTCTCCCAGCACCAAAGAGAAAAGAAAGCCAGGTGTGGTGCTTCTGGAAACATAGCACTGTGGAGGTTGGAAGCAGGAGGATCAAGAATTCAAGGTCATCCTTGGCTACATAGTAAGTTGGAGGCCAGCCTGGGCTACATGAGACCCTGTCTCAAAAGCAAACAAGGTCAGGTATTTTACTCAGGGCCGAGACATCTTATTCTTCAATAAGCATGAGAAGATAGAAGAACCGAGAAGGGAAGGAGACTCACATACATGGATGTAAATGGCTGCTTTCCCCTTGGCATTGGCTAGGACAGCCTTAGCAAAAAAAAAAAAAAAACCCCACAAGTTCTTCTGTAGCCAAGACCAGCATGGGGCGCGTCCAACAGGACAGCCACATCCTCCTTGTCTGAGACCTTCCCTGGGGACAGGGGGAGCAGGGCGTCCTGCCACAGCCTCTTGAACCGCCGTGTAGGGCAGTGTGGGGCTCACACTCAGACCACTCTCATCAAAAGCCCAGACAGGCCCAAGGAGAGAGATCTTCAGGCTTGGCATGGCCGTTTGGCCGGAGCTGGGGCCTGTGTCAGTTCTGTGGGTGGTGGACATTAGCTGTCTTGTCTTTAGGTGGACTGTGGACTTCTCTGTTAACTGTTCCATGGCTCCCACTACCATGCATGACCTCAGATTCCAAGGAGCAGAGTGCACACATAGGTCCCCCTGGTGCGTTTAAAACACACACTCGGGAAACAGCTACAAACGGCCGATAATGCTCACAGTTCACCCACACTGGAAAACTTCACTTGTCAGAAAATAGACCAGAGTGGACCGTCTACTTAGAGACTCGTCCTGAAAGGCAAGGAGGAAGGCAGGGGAAGGCCCCAACCTTTGCCAGAGAGCCTCCGGGGCTGCGTGCCAATGCAGATGCTCCGGCTGTCCTCGTCGTCCTCGGGAGGTCGGCTCAGGTCGTCCCAGGCACACTTGGCACTGACACCGCTCAGGTTAGATCCGTCAGTCTCGATGCCTTTGTCAACTCTCTCCTGCTTGAAAAGAACCAAAGAGTCAGAGCTCCTTCGGAGGACCGGAGGCCACGCTCACCAGCACCTACTCGGCCACTACCATCCAGCGTTAGCCTTGTAGGTGTGAGCGTGGACAGCTGCTCAAGATCAGGGTCTCTGACCTTGTTCTCTGGTTATGTGCACAGTGGCTTCCGTAGCCCTGGGCTCCTCTGGGGAACAGGACTAGGGGAGCCAGGAGGAAGGGACATGCTGTGGAGGCTTCTTTCCCATCAGCCCCCAGCACCACGGCCTTTGTGCCGCTTTCAACCCTGAGAGCCCTCAGAGCTGATGCAGCAGAGACAAGATCTACTTCTCTCAGGAAAGGCATACGCCTTGCCCTTTTCCTGATCTTCCAACAACGGTCACTGCCCACCCCACCTACAGGAGTTCGGGTGTGAGCCTGCCCGGACTCGGGAACTCATGCCTGCAGTTCCGCACTATAACAGTAGAGGGGGCCATCGCTCCAGAGCAGAAGTGCTCTGTCCATAGGGGCCAGCTAACTTTGGCAAAGAACTCTGGATGGGGTTCTTTTCCATTTCCTGGGCTGAAATGGGGGGTCTGAAGGGCAGTGACCGCTGAACAACTTCCCCCGGAGGCTCTGCCTTTGTGTAGATATTGGCACTGCTCAGTCCAAACTTTCTCCAAATGGCCTCAAGGAAGAGTTGTACTCAAAACATGCCTGGGTTTTCTGGTAAAACATAGTTCTGTGGTGCTGGGCTTTGGATCAAAGGTCATCTGGAAGACTCTAGCAGCCCTGTCCATAAACAGCCATGTCGGCCAAGTAAACCTGCTGTGACTATGCATCTCAGAAGCCCACACGTCCCTGTGCCAGCCGCTCCCTCCCAGGGCTCCCAGAAAAGGGCATTGTTGTTATGCCTTGGTCTCAGGTGGCCTCCTACCCATAAGTCACCCTTTCTTCTTTCTTCTGGGACTGTCATCAGCCTAGGTGAGGCTGGCAGCAGGCAGGTGCTCTAGGCCTGAGCAGGGTCTGCTGGGGGAGAATCTGAGTTTTCTTTTGTTTTTTTTTTTCGAGACAGGGTTTCTCTATGAAACAGTGCTGGCTGTCCTGGAACTCACTCTGTAGCCCAGGCTGACCTCGAACTCACAGAGCTCCGCCTGCCTCTGCCTCCTGAGTGCTGGGATTAGAGGTGTGCACCACCACCGCCTGGCCTGAGTTTTCTTATCAGTGACTGTCCTGAGACCGTCAGTGAGGCAGAGCTGAGGATAGTCGGTTCCTGGCCCCACTAGTCCAGACAGCTTACCCTGACTGCTGTGGTAATCCCAGCTACTCAAGAGGCTGAGGCAGGAGGATAGTAAATTTAAGGCCTGCTGGGGTGCAGAGTGAATTCAAGCCCAGTCTAAGCAACTTAGTAAGAAAGCATCTCAAAAAGTACTTGTCTCATATGCACGAGACCCCAGATTTAGCGGCGAGTGTCAGAAAAAAAAAAAAGGTAGTGGAAGGGCCTGCCTGTTTAGGCCTGTTTAGGCACACAGCTGGTTAGTAGTAAACTAAGATCAAAGGACTATGAACCAGCTTTCAAAGCAACTAATGGCAAACAGGCCCCAGAGAAGTATAAGCAAGTACACCGAGCCATCGGGAAAGCAAGGCGTATTTTCTCCCACTCGCTTCTTGCTTGATGGTAATGAGCACAGACTGCTGTGGGTCCTGCTGACTGGGGTCTCAGAGAGGCCGCAGTATCCACGCTGGATCCCGGTGTGGCTGCAGAACACGGGCTTAGGGATGGAGCCTTCACGGCTTCTGGTGCTTGCAGAAGCAGACGCGACACAGAAATCGAGTTCAAAGCAGAGATAACAAAAGACCCTGGCAGCAGTGTGAGCATTTCAGGGTTAAAGGGACCCGGAGAGTGGAGGAGCCTCATCTGTGAGTGAAGAGGATGTGAGCCCAAGAACTCTCAGGCCAGCAGCAGCCAACTCACATGCCTCTTCTCACCTCTCCCTACTGCTGGACTTGAGACGCCTAGTCGCTGCCGTGGCCTGCCGGAGCCTTACAGAAGCATGGAGGTTCAGAGACGGCCATGACTCTGCTGGCACAGTGATCAGGAGTCAAACGCAAGGCAGACATATGGTCTGCTGCTTCTGCCCCTGCACGGCATACAAGAAGTGCAGCAATTCTCTGTGGCTTCCAAAATCCAGCTGGGTGACAAACAAGCGTCTCTTCTAAAACACCCAAGTTGACAGTGACACTGTCCAGGCAGCCACAGTGGGGCCTAAGGACGCCTTCACAATGACAGGATCATTAGACCAATCAGCACTCCCCCTGCAGCTGGCCTGTGGGGTCAACACAGCCTGGGCTGCTCCTGACATAGGGTGATGGCTCCCTGAAAACGTGTGCTGGGAAAAGGGAGGAGGGCAAGGAAGCAGTATTCCTTATGAACACCTTCCTTTGTTAGTGGTGGTCTAATTTTAACCTGAGACATCATTTACATCCAGTAAAATCCATCCTTTTTCAATGCACACATACATGTACCAGGCTTGCTTTTCTGGGCTGAAATCTGTTTTCTTATATGGGATGCCGAATTCAGGGACCACGTCCCAGACCGTGCCATAGTTCTACTTGGCTCACACACAATGCTCCTCCATTTTCTCAGGATGAAAGCCAGTGCTATTTGGTAGAGGGTGCTAGCAAGGTTTTCCTCATTCAAGACATACTTGCAGGTGTGGATCGATCTCAAATATGGTTTCTCCCCTCCGCATGTCAGTTATCAGCCAAGGACCACCAGCCCTGTGGACAAGGAGAGACAGTGGTAACTGGGGGTCTGGACTGATCATCCGTCAACAGCCTTTCTTGTTTGCTGTCCCAGAGCACCCAGGGCACTGCTAGCGGTCAGGGACCCTAGAGAAATGAGCGCCCCAAACAGCAAAGCAAAGGCCCCCCAGGTTCCCAGGGCCCCGGGCCCCGGCCGCCCCGACAGGGACGTGTACTCACACAGGCACTGTTCTCAGCAGCTCCAGGATGCCCTGCCCGTTCCACTGCTGGGCCGAGTGCAGCTCCTCAGTGCAGACCCCGACAATCTGCGGCCCAGGACAAGACGTCGTGTTTCAGTGGCCATCCCTCCTAGATGTCTAGCTAGCTAGGCTCTCTCAGGGGCATCTCAAGGAGGGGGGGACACAGGTACAGTTGGTGGCTCTAGGCTGGTGTTCCCAAAACATGATGACTCCCTTAGGAGGTGCTCCCTAGCTGGGAGGTCCCCGAGTCCACAGATGGGCACTGAGGCCTAGCTCTTGGCTACAGAAGACACTAGGGGCAGCCTGAGCCACATCAGGGTAGGCCCTCGCTCAGTCCAGGTATTTAGAGGCAGGGGTGGTCAGGCAGCGGCTCCCACAACAGCTACATCTCTGTGTCACTCTCTAGGCCACCAGTGGAACCTTCACCTAGCCCTCATTAGAACTGCAAGCAAGCATGGGCGGTGCTGGGGAGATTCACACCCACTGGGGACACGGGAGGGAAGCCTGGAGCTGGCTTCCTGACGTTCCTCTTGCCTCAGCCACTGCAGAGGGTGAAATCAGACCATCTGCATCGAGACAGACCATCGCAGGGAAGAGAAGACCAAGAGAAGCCTCCTGCCCCGCCACTTTCCCTCTCCATGTCCCCTCTGTTCTAGACTTTTCCACAGGGATGAGAGGTCCGAAGCCTCTGGCAGCACCTCACCTGGAGGAAGGTCACCACCCCAAACGGGGTCTGTACAGGCTGCATCTGGGGGTCCTCTGTCAGCAGCATGTGCTGGATTCTTGACTCACTGTTATCCAAGGGGCTGTGCCAAGACACGTGGTCCCCGCTGCAGAAGGTGTTCTCTGTGGAGAGACAGGAGGGTCTTCAGCATTTGGATCCAGACCTGGAATCTGCCCTGAGACCTCAGAAGCCCAGGCTGGGAGGCTTCCCAGCCTCCTAGAACAGCCCGATGAGCCCACTCCCAATACAAGCAAAGAATTGCCTTGGCTACTCCCAAAACACCAAATGGCCCTCGATGACCCGATGTGTTTGCCTTCACTGGAAGCCTGCTGGTGTGCATGCTCACTTGGCCGAGGAAGGCCAAAGGCTTCTAACATGTGCTGTGCTTCTCCAGTGCTGGGGGAGGGCATGATCAAGTAGGCCAGGAATGAGGTGCTTTCCAAGGGGCCAATGGACCACTGGCAAGCAGGAAAGCTGCAAACAGTGGGAATTCTTGGAAAAAGTCCCTGGGATTTCTGTGTTGGTGAATCAGTGCAGAAAGGGAACACTCAACCTCAGAGAGCCTCGGAGATCTGCTGCCGGTTTCCCACAGGCAGGTTTGGGGATTTTTGAGGAACACTGGAGACTTCGGGTAAATGGAGGTCAGGACAGTGCCTTGCACACCTCAGTATACTGTACTGCTGAGGGATGGCTGCCTCTGTGAGAACACGGTAACCTAGACTCAGTACTATGCTTCACAAAGGCCTATTATTAAAAAAAAAAAAAAGGGGGCGGGGAGGTGCCAGGAATGATGGGCACGTGCATGTAATCCTAGCACTCAGGAGGTTAAGGCAAGAGGATGATAAAGTTGAGGCCAGCCTGGGCTAACTGCCAACACTGTCTCAAAAAATAAAAACAAAAAAACAAATAGAACGAGTTTACGGCAGCAAAGCCACAGGGGAACACTGCATGCAGCACTAAGCCCCTCCCACCCCGACTCCTGTCTTGGGCACTCAAAGTGTGCTGCATTTACCAGTTCATGAGCACCGACAGGTTCCCAGGCTGGCCTCAAATTCCCTATTCAGCCTTCTGAATCTCCTGCTTTCGCCTCCAAGTGCTGAGTCTGTAGACATGCGCCACACTTGGCTGTCGGGTCTTAACTGTGCATGGGGGTTTTGACTGCATGGATGTCCATGCTCCGCTTAGGAGCTCGGTGCCCTTGGAGGCCAGCAGAGGGCATCAGATCCCCCGGAACTGGAGTTTTAGACGGCTGTGAGCTGACACATGGGTGCTGGAAATCCAACCCGGGTCCTCTGGAAGAGCAGCCAGTCCTTTTAACCATTAAACCATTTCTCTAGTCCTGACCACACCCAGTTTCACGTGGCTTTGTGCATGCTAGGTGAGCACTCTACCAAATGAGCTACATTCCCAGCTCCCCTCCATTTTCCCCTTTGAGCTGATTTTCCACACTTCACTCATTTACATACCTCAGGGCGCATTTCGCCTCTGCTTGAAGAGACCCTCCTTTGCTAAACGTCTGCGTCATGTGGCGGGCAGAACACACCACACACGCCATGCGGGCCTGCACACACCAGCCTAAGCCTGGAAGCTCCTGCCCTTGGCTGTCTTGTCTTGATCTGAACTCTGATTCTTCCGGTGTCACCTAATACCACCCAACCATCTTCCCCAGGCAGACACAGGAACGGGCAGCTGTCTACACCTCAGAAGTGTTCATTCAGGAGGGAAGGGAGGACTGTTCCTCCAGGAGACCCAAGCAATAAAGCGGAGGAGGAGAAGGTGGGCTAGTGAGAAACCCTGAAGTTTCTCAAGTGTTTGCATGTTCCTGAACCCTTCTCTCCCATCACCGCCATGTCTATAATGAACTTGCTGGAAGTAAGAAACAGCAGGCGAGACTAAACTAATAATTAAAAACCCTCACCAGACATCCCTACAATCTAGACCCCACTGACACCGGACACTTAGAGAATTTATGATGATTTTTTTCACAAGCCTTTCCAAAAATGAAAAAGAAACACTTCTCAATTCATTAGATGATGCCACTACCATCCAGATACCAAAATCAGACAAGAGAATTTAAGAAAATGGAAAAAGGAAACCACGGACCACTATCACTTATACATATAGAAAAAAAATCCCAACCAAGTATTAGCAAGCTGAACCCAGCAACATAGAAAAGAGATTATATACAAAGACCAAGTGGGATTCATCCCAGAAATTCTAGCTTGATTTGATTTAAGAATCAATACAATAGGAGCTCGGCTGGAGCTCGGTTGATAGCGTTTTCCTTACAAGCATGAAGCCCTGGGTTGGATGCTCAGCGTCACCCAGGTGTGGTGTTGGACATGTGTGATCCCAGCACACGGGATTTGGAGGTAAAAGAAATCAGAAATTCGGGGGTGAAATGGCTCAGTGTGGGAAAGGCTTGTGTGGTGAGCCTGACTACTCGAGTCCAATCTCTGGAACCCACAGTGGAGAGAGACCTGCGCCTGAGAGCTGTCCTCTGCCCTCCAGGTGTGTGCCACAGCGCATGCACACTCACACTCACACACACAGACATCATATTATATAGACAATAATAAAAACCGAAAGAAGACGAGAAGAATCAGGGCCACACAGTGCATTTAATGGAAGCTTTTAACGGGCTGCAGTTCCGGTCTATAGGAATAAAGATTAAGAAACAGAAAGGATAACACGACACTGTTGTCTCCAAGACATGGAAAACGTCACAAAATCCAACACCTTTTCATAGTTAAACAAAACACACACTGCAACCAGGAAGAGACGAGAAGGTTCCCACTCTGACCAAGACATCTGAAAACGGGCAGACACTGGACTCGATGGTAAATGAGTGACTCATTTCCATCTTTGGTCAAGAGCAAGACAGATGTCCACCCTCACCACTCATCACTGCAGTAGAGGGTCCCCACAGGAGGCTTGGGCACACAAAGCATAAAACACATCCAACCGGAAAGGAAGAGGTAACCTGCCTCTGCTCATAGATGACATGGGCTTGTACATGGAGGATTTAGAATGCACTAAAAAACTACCACACATTTATAAAGGCTGCAGGGTATGTAAGCAATGTACACAAATCCTTTTTATTTCTAGATACTAAGAATGAACAAACAAAACAAAATGAATAAAAACCATTTCTTTACAATAGCACCCACAAAAATATACTACTTGGAATCTATTTAACAAGAGAATTAGAAATGTATAAGCTGAAAATTTCAAAACACTATTGAAAGAAGTCACAGAAACCCCACACAAACGCAAAGCCATCCTCTCAAGGACAATACTGTTAGGAGAGCAGTACTCCCCAAATCTTGTACGGCCAGTGCAGATCTCTGAGAACGTCAGGTGACTTTTTGAGAGAGATGCACAAACATCCTGGAATTCGTATAGAAAGCAAGCGGTCAAGAACAGCCACGAACAATTTTTGAAACAAATAAGAGGAAGAGAATCAGGTAAGTGTGGTCACACAGGCCCGTTATGTATATCCAAAGAGGAGGATTGAGGGCTTGAGGTTAGCCTGAGCTACATAATAAAACTGTCTCTCCAGGCGGTGGTGGCGAATGCCTTTAATCCCAGGACTCCAGTACTCTGGAGGAGTGGAAAAATAGTGAGACCCCTATTTAAAAAAATAAAATAAATAAGCCAATTATGCTAATTTTAATAGAAAACAAAACAAAACCAAGGACTGAGATGTATCAGGAGGAGAACACTGGGGTGCTGGAGATGACTCAGCAGGGTGAGCACTGGGGTGCTGGAGATGACTCAGCAGGGTGAGCACTGGGGTGCTGGAGATGACTCAGCAGGGTGAGCACTGGGGTGCTGGAGATGTCTCAGCAGGGTGAGCACTGGGGTGCTGGAGATGATGACTCAGCAGGGTGAGCACTGGGGTGCT